ATATGGCTTTCACATGCAGGTATGGCCACAATAAGCAAAGGTGCAAACAACTTCTCTAGACAAAATTTCAGGTCAAATCGTCAAAAAGGTGATGTAGGAGACCCCTGTTTAATAATTCATGTTTTCATGCAGTAAAAAGCCACAAACTTGAAAACAAATTCATTGTCGGTGATTATAAAACATGGACAACTTGAAGAAAGAGACAAAATGACGCAGAGCTGAAGACGTGGTTTCTGACATACATTTTCCCAGCGGTCGCCGAGTTTTATACTCAGGGAAGATACAACAGTTTGCCTCAACACGTTGCCATGGATACCATTGTTTTGACTTTAACATCAAGCGGAAAACCATCTCTATGTCGGTGTAATGACTCGTTTTATTATAATTGCTTGAAACGTATTATTATAGATCTCTAAATTAATGAACTGTACTATTTAAAAATGTGAACCAGCTCAACACAAATATATGATGAATAACTGGTTTCCATGGCGTCAATTTTAACGGTTGAATTAATGAAGCGGTGAATGGTTCGTTAGTGTCAATTACTTATGTTATTTCAATTACAATTCGTTCAATGTGGAAACTGGAAACATGAAAAGACAAGGAGCAAAGATGATTTTTGTTATAGTAGTCAAGCCGGGTCAATGCTAGCAATTACAAGAAGTAACAAATGTGTAGTTACAGAAGAGACAAAAAGGATGGGGGATTATAAACACGTTCAAATAAATGTTAGTTATTCACAACAAATAAAATAAAATATGTAACAAAATTAAAAGTAAAAGAAAATACCCATTACCAAAAGTTTTTTTTTGGTTTTTTGATACTGGTAGTTTTGTTGAATACTCTGTGGGTCCGGTTTGTTATCCTTGGGTCAAATTAACCAGCCACAGTGATTTAAAAATACCCAAAATATTTTTTATGATTTTTTCTAACTTCACTAGCCCTAGGTCATTCAGCCCCTTATAGACGCTAATTTAGGGTATTATTTTTCTATTTTTAACCACTTCATTCATTTCGAACCGTGGCACAAGGCTTTCAGAGTAAATTAAGATCAAAAGAGTTGTTTTTCCGCCACGCTGACTTCTCCCTCTACATCAGCTGCTCAGTCACATCTGCATTTAATCGGAGCCTCTCAGTTGGTGCAGCAACCCACCTCCTCCCCATCACCGCCTCTTCAGTGGATTACCGGGTCATGTCTTCGGCTCACCTTCTTTGCCACCAGCTCTAGGCCCCGGGGGGTTTGCAAGCTCATCATTTCTATTGAAATCCATATGAACTCTATACAAACATTTCAAGTTCAAATGGAATAAATATATTAATGCAATCTCGACAATAAATATATTCTAATGCAATATTTTTTTCGAGTCTTTCCAGATTAAAATACTATTTAGAGCATTTCCCTCGGCTCTTTTTCTCCTCCAATCCATCCACATTTGTTTAGTCAAAGTATTTGGCGTACACTGTTTTCCCCCAACAGCTTTAATATCATTCTCTTTGGTCTTATGTAACTTGTCATCTCATTTTTCAAAGCCCAAAATGACTTTCCGCACTGGTTTGGCGGCCCACCCATCCCGACAGCTGGTGGACAGAGCCCCTCCCTCTGTGTGCCGTCGTGTTTGGCACCGAGGGCTGAGCTGACAAAACACTGGTTGATTAACTCTGACGATGGATCTAATGAGAACACTCATAAAAAACAGAAGGTACTAAATGTTATGCTCTGTAAAAGTTTTAATAAAAGGTTTTTGTTGGTACGAAGAGATGAGTAAGGTATATTTTTCATTAAAACAAATAGAAAAATGACACAAAACCAGAATGATTGCAGACTAATCTAGCTTGTCCCATTTGCGAATATTAATTAAGATACATATTTTACCAAATTTGAGCAATTTTTGAAAGAAACAAAAACATAAACAAAGGGATTTAACTAAAATAAGCCGTATTTAACAATGTCTTTTTAAATACATTTTCAATATTTGTCAGTAAGAATTATACGCAAATGTTACACGTTTTGTCTTGAAGCTATATTTGTGTTTAATTCTTACTGACAAATATTCAAATTGAATCTAATGTTGTTTATTTTAGTTAAATCCCTTTTATGTTTTTGTTTTAATCAAAAAATGCTCAAATTTGGTGTAATTTATCTTAATTTGAGCACATTTTGACAAGATTCGCAAATGGGACAAAGCAAAATTATCTTGTTTAGTAAGATACAAGAAATGTCTCAGTTTGAATGAGAAAATAAAGCAACAGTTCTTAAGACTAAATGGCCTTGTGCCGTTGACAAATCTTGTTTTAAGACGTGTCAGAATGTGCTCAATTTAAGATAAAAATCCCTCGATTCAAGCAAATATTACCTCATAATTTATCATTTTTTGCAGTGTTGCATCTCCTCTCTATAGTGTCATAAAGAGTGTATTCTACGACCACCATGTGCTGGTCCTCTTTGTGCATTTTGTGCTTTTTGTGTATATTCAAAGCCCCAATTAGACTCAAGGGAACATTAAAGCCTCACAAAACTAAGAAACGCATGGAAACCCTTTAAGAACAGAGCAATAATGATCACGGTGGAAATAGATCCTAAATCGTTCCTCTTTACATTCTCTCCCATGGACCTAAAAATAGCAGATAATTAGAGAAACCCTTTGCCCTGACGTATGCACCAAGCTATAGCTGGGGTGAGTTTTTTATTCCCCAGTATTGTAGTAATAAAGCTCACCACTGACTGTATTTACTTTGCTTTAAAGGAGATGTGTAAAACTGTCTTTTTGGAGTTTTTAATCCAATCCAATCCAGTCCACTTTATTCATATAGCTCATTCTATAAAAGTGAGATAAAAGTGACACATTTTAATATACAGGTTTGCCAGCTTTATAAAGATATATCAAAAATAGAATAAATACAAAAATTATAACGTATGAAGTAAAACCCATAAAAATGGAATAAAAACAATAAAATACCAGTTAAAAAGGCAAGAAGAAGATAAAACAGATTTTTCAACATGTTTCCCTCATCAGTTACAGAGTTGGAGTTGTGTTTAGATCAATCCACACTAGCCTGGTCTTACCACACCATAGTACAAATTACATTTCGTACTAAGGTCTGGAGGTGCTCCATTGAGCTCCGTCAACAGGTGGGAGGGGTTAACTCCTTTTGCAGATTGAAACGATTGGATCTGAGTTCACCGTCACGTAATACGCCCGAGTGAGTTGTTAGCATTTAGCCTAGCCATCTTCTTTGCTTCCGCTGGCAGGGCAGGAGGCCGGTCAGACCTGGCAGGCCCAAGCGTGTAGTGAGGGTTTGCTGGGAACGTCTTGGTGAGCCCCCTGTCAGACGGACTTTCGACTCACACCTCCGGGAGAGCTTCTCCCAGGTCCCGGCAGAGGAGGGGGACATCGAGTCCGAGTGGACCATGTTCTCTTCCTCTATCGCCAATGCGGCGGCTCGTAGCTGTGGTCGCAAGGTCTCTGGTGCTGGTCCCGGCGGCAATCCCCGAACCCGGTGGTGGACACCGGCAGTAAGGGATGCCGTCAGGCTGAAGAAGGAGTCCTATCGAGCAATGATGGTTCGTGGGACTCCTGAGGCAGCTGTCCAGTACCGGCAGGCCAAACGTGCCGCGGCCCGGGCTGTTGCAGAGGCAAAAACCCGGGACTGGGAGGAGTTCGGAGAGTCCATGGAGCATGACTATCGGTCGGCCTCAAAGAGGTTCTGGCAAACCGTCCGGCGCCTCAGGAGGGGGAAGCAGTTCTTTGCCAACACCGTGTATGGTGCGGGTGGAGGGCTGCTGACCTCGACTGGGGATATTGTCGGGCGGTGGAAGGAATACTTCGAGGTTCTCCTCAATCCCCCCGTCACGTCCTCCGTCCAGGAGGCAGAGGCTGAGGATGTTGGGGCGGATACTTCCATCTCCCTGGCCGAGGTCACCAAGGTGGTTGGCAGCCTCCATGGTGGCAAGGCGCCGGGAGTGGATGAGATCCGTCCTGACTATCTAAAGTCTCTGGATGTTGTAGGACTGTCTTGGCTGACACGTCTCTGCAACATCGCGTGGCGATCGGGGGCGGTGCCAATGGAGTGGCAGACCGGGGTGGTGGTCCCTCTCTACAAGAAGGGGGACCGGAGGGTGTGTTCCAATTATCGTGGGATCACACTCCTCAGCCTCCCCGGTAAGGTCTACTCCAAGGTACTGGAGAGGAGGCTACGTCCGATGGTCGAATCTCGGATTCAGGAGGAGCAGTGTGGTTTTCGTCCCGGTCGCGGAACACTGGACCAGTTCTATACTCTCCATCGGATACTCGAGGGCTCATGGGAGTTCGCCCAACCTGTCCACATGTGCTTTGTGGATTTGGAGAAGGCGTTCGACCGTGTTCCCCGGGGTGTCCTTTGGGGGGTCCTCCGGGAGTACGGGGTCCGGGGTCCTCTGCTGAGGGCTGTTCGGTCCCTGTATGACCGGAGCCAGAGCTGTGTTCGCATTGCCGGCAGTAAGTCAGACCTGTTCCCGGTGCATGTTGGCCTCCGCCAAGGCTGCCCTTTGTCACCGGTTCTGTTCACTGTATTTATGGACAGAATCTCTAGGCGCAGCCAGGGGCCGGAGGGGGTCCGGTTCGGGAACCACAGGATTTCATCTCTACTTTTTGCGGATGATGTCGTCCTGCTGGCTCCAACGAACCAGGACCTGCAACATGCACTGGGACGGTTTGCAGCCGAGTGTGAAGCGGCTGGGATGAGAATCAGCACCTCCAAATCCGAGGCCATGGTGCTCGACCGGAAAAAGGTGCCTTGCCCTCTCCAGGTGGGTGGAGAGGTCCTTCCTCAAGTGGAGGAGTTCAAGTATCTCGGGGTCTTGTTCACGAGTGAGGGGAGGATGGAGCGTGAGATTGACAGGCGGATCGGTGCAGCGTGCGCAGTGATGCGGTCTCTGTATCGGACCGTTGTGGTAAAGAGGGAGCTGAGCCGAAAGGCGAAGCTCTCAATTTACCGGTCAATCTTCGTTCCCTCCCTCACCTATGGTCATGAGCTGTGGGTAATGACCGAAAGAACGAGATCGCGGATACAAGCGGTCGAAATGAGCTTCCTCCGTAGAGTGGCTGGGCGCTCCCTTAGAGATAGGGTGAGGAGCTCGGTCACACGGGAGGAGCTCGGAGTAGAGCCGCTGCTTCTCCACGTCGAGAGGAACCAGTTGAGGTGGCTCGGGCATCTGTTCAGGATGCCTCCTGGACGCCTTCCTGGGGAGGTGTTCCGGGCACGTCCCACCGGGAGGAGGCCCCGGGGAAGACCCAGGACACGCTGGAGAGACTATGTCTCTCAGCTGGCCTGGGAACGCCTAGGGGTCCCCCCGGACGAGCTGGAGGAGGTGTGTGTGGATAGGGAAGTCTGGGCGTCTCTGCTTACAGTAGGTCCCATTCCGTTTTGTCGCCTTTCACGCGTGAATCACACGAGACTCACGTGTGATTCACGCGTCTTTTATTTTCCCCCCTCCCAGTGACGTTGCAATGACCAAAACAACCACCAGGTGGCACTTGTGAGCAGGGTTACATTGGCGAGTTTCTGCCCCGCGCACATCGACAATCTGGTTAAAACGGGCAACTCCTTGTAGTCTCTGGAATAACCCGCAGACATTAAAACTACTGCACACTGAGAAAAGTGTTGCAAGCGCAACTTTGAACCTAAGTACTTGTATTTGCAATTTCGGACTTAAATTTTATTCTTATGGTTTTAATATTAGAAAAATAATTTGCATTTACTAAAACAAAAACAATATACCCACAAATACGTTTTGTGTGTGTATTGAACTAAATTTTGAAAAAATATTGTTGGCAGTGCAGTGCTTCTTAAATCTGACGCTATCAATAAGTGTTCAGACAAAGTAATTTCTACTGGGCGGGAGTTTGCTTCCGGTTCGGACCGTTTCCGCGAGCTTGTTGTTGGTGATGGGCGCTGAGCCAGCCTTGGACACGGTCGTGTGGTTTCCCGTGAGATCCAACTCAAAGTAAGATTTTTTAAATATATGGTGCTTTCTCTGTAAGGTTTGTCGCGTATTTGATCAAATATATACAATCTGTGGTCAAATCGTCGTTTTATTTTCTTGGCAGTTCGTGTCCAAAATTACTTCATGTTAACTGTCTACTCTAGCCCCAAACATGTTGTTAGCATAAAACTGTGCCAGTATAATGGTCCTACAATTTCGTTGTTTAGCAAAGTGATTTGTGTTAAGACTCGTAACATTACCAACAACCCCTTAAATGTTCTGAACCATAATAACAGGCGTAGTTTTCGCAGTTTGGAGCTGCTAACTTCTAGCTAGCTGTTGCTAACGGTACGCAGCTAACATAAGTAGACCAAAGTCGCTACTGTCCTGCTCTGTCTTGTTGCCGGAGGTGCAAGTGGAAAATACAGTTGGCAACAGAAGCCACGTGACATTTATTAATCTTCTATTATTTTCTACTCTTGGGGACAGTTCATTTCCCCGCAGAAGTCCCTAGTTACATTAGCTCAGCGGAGCGACTCTCAAGGAGGAGACAGGTGCAGAGCATGGTGCGGAGGCAGAAAACATGTTTATTGCTATCTGAGATCGCTCTGATTTCCTCGCGGTCAGAAAGTAGCTTGTTTCAGCAGCAAACTAACGTTAAGTTAACAGCTACTGCATGTTGTTAATGTCATGACCCGTCCGCATCAGCATCACTGTATTATATCAAGGCCTGTCTGTTTTAGCCAATGTGCAGCTATATGGTTAGTTATGATAAGTTCAAATACATTCAGAAATCTGCAGCACATTTAAAAAACCCAAACAAAGTATAAGTGATACATTATAAACATGCATTTTTAAAAGAACATACTGAGGGTGACTGCAATAGCCTATTGCAGTCACAAAATTAGAGTGGAAATGCTAAAAATCTGATGTGACTTACATTCGCATTTCATATGAACAACATTTTGGCATGTTAATTTTGAAATAAACGATATTTTGCTGGACAAGTAGGTTTTGTTTCCGGGCAAGTAAAAAATACCTGCCACTTCAAGTACCTCAAAGCACTTAATGTCAAGTCCTGACAAGGTAATACATTCAGCTAAAGACAGGTACATGTTGTGGTATAGCATGTTTTTTGTGGAATCACGTGTAGTAACGCAAAATGCACAAAGCACTTTGTTTGTACTAATCTAATGCATTTTTTATATGTAAAAAGCAGCACCGCCTGTTTAAATGCTTATGATATTTGTCCAATGAAGAGTATTTTTAAGCATGTTTATTAATTTTATTTTATTTTATTTTAGATTTTTCTTTTCACTTATTCGCTTGATACACTTCAAACAAATTATCTTCGGTCTTCTTGCATCCCTTGTATTTACAATACATTACAATACTTGCATGTGATACTGTTTGGTATGGGCCACACTGATTTTGTTTCTGTAATTTAGAGCATAAATGAGTGTGCCCTGCAAGATTTGCGGTGAGTCCTTGGCAACAAGAGAGGAGATTGTCCATCATTTGTCATTATATACGTTTTTATATCTAAATGAACACAATCAGAAATATGAAAACATATTCAAGATAAGAAGTGCTGAATACTTCCTAATTTGTGGTGTTTTTTATTTCTATGAATCTTCTACTTCTCCATCTCCTTCTTCTTCTTCTACTCCTCCTGCTCCTTCTCACACCAGTCATTTCCCCACAAGTGTTGTCTATAATTCTACCACAAGGAGAGAATCTTCTCACCCAGACTCATCTACACCTCCACCTCCACCTCGCTCCTCCACTCCTCACCCAGAACACCCAGCACCCAGCTCCACAACTGAAGCCACCACAGCCTCCTCGACTCCTGCACCTCCCACCACCTCCTCCACCTCCTCCAGCACCTACCCTAGCCGGGCTCCTCCTTCTACACCCCCCGCGGTCTCAAACTCCACCAGGAGAGGGCAAGGAGGGTGGATGGAGAGGGCCTTCACCACTGTGGTCTCAGTGAAACAGTTTGGAGTCTTCCAGCTTTCCGACAAGAGCCACTGTGACTCTGGATACAGGGCCACAGACGACCTCTGTCACAGCAGCTGCTATGGTATGGACCATGGGGACACTGACCATGTGGACACTGACCATGTGGACACAGACCATGTGGACACTGACCATGTCGACACTAACCATGTGAACACTCACCATGTGGACACAGACCATGTGGACACTGACCATGTGGACACAGACCATGTGGACACAGACCATGTGGACACTGACCATGTGGACACAGACCATGTGGACACTGACCATGTGGACACAGACCATGTGAACACAGACCATGTGAACACTGACCATGTGGACACTGACCATGTGGACACATACCATGTGGACACTGACCATGTGGACACAGACCATGTGGACACAGACCATGTGGACACTGACCATGTGGACACAGACCATGTGGAATCAGACCATGTTGACACAGACCAAGAGGACACAGACCATGGGGACACAGACCATGGGGACACAGACCATGGGGACACAGACCATGGGGACACAGACCATGGGGACACAGACCATGGGGACACAGACCATAGGGACACAGACCATTGGGACACAGACCATGTGAACACAGACCATGTGGACACAGACCATGTGGACACAGACCAAGGGGACACAGACCACGGGGACACAGACCATAGGGACACAGACCTCTGTCACAGCAGCTGCTATAGTAAGGACCATGTGGACACTGGTGTGAGACCATGTGTATGCTGGGAACAGAACAGAGAGAGACCAGAGAGAGAGACTAGAGAATCAGAATCAGAATCATTTATACCCACATAAGTAACAGGAAGTCAGACTGGGAAATTGCTTTGGCTCCGTGCAACAGTCAGAAAGAGAGGTAAAGAATAGAGAATAGAGTAAGGCATAATAAAAATCAGCATACATCAGAGACCAAAGAGAGACCAGAGAGAGAGACCAGAGATCAGAAAGAGAGACCAGAGAGAGGTCAGAGAGAGACTAGAGAGAGAACAAAGAGGCCAGAAAGAGACCAGAGAGAGACAAGGGAGAGACCAGAGAGAGGCTCCAGAGAGAGAGACCAGAGAGAGAGACAAGGGAGAGACCAGAGAGAGAGACCAGAGAGAGATGTTAGTATGAAATGAAATGAGCTATTCAAATAAACCTGCTTCTTCTTGTCCATCTACTACTGTATCCATTGTTGTGTTTTGTAAGTTACACACCTGAGCTTTAACTGTGTGCAGAGTTTGCAGATGACGACATCAAAGACGACGTGGACTGCTTTGTTCGCAGTGACCTCTTCTTACAGTGAGTCCTTTACTTGAAGACAGAGTTTTTACTTCTGGTCTCTCTCTGGTCTCTCTCTTGTCTTGCTCTGGTCTCTCTCAGGTCTATCTCTGGTCTCTCTCCGGTCTCTCTCAGGTATATCTCAGGTCTATCTCAGATCTCTCTCTGGTCTCTCTTTCTGGTCTCTCTCTGGTCTCTCTCTGGTCTCTCTCTTGTCTTGCTCTGGTCTCTCTCTCTGTTTTCTCTCTGATATCTCTCTGGTCTTTCTCTGGTCTCTCTCTGGTCTCTCTCTTGTCTTGCTCTGGTCTCTCTCTCTGTTTTCTCTCTGATATCTCTCTGGTCTTTCTCTGGTCTCTCTCTGGTCTCTCGCGTTGGTCTCTCTCTCTGGTCTCTCTCTCTAATCACTCTCTGTTCTCTTTCTGGTCTCTCTCTCTGGTCTCTCTCTGATCCCTCTCTGGTCTCGCGCTGGTCTCTCTCTCTGGTCCCTCTCTCTAATCACTCTCTGGTCTCTCTCTGGTCCCTCTGTCTGGCCTCTGTCTCTGGTCTCTCTCTCTGGCCTCTCTCTGGTCTCTCTCTCTGGCCTCTCTCTGGTCGCTCTGGTCCCTCTCTCTGGCCTCTCTTTGGTCTCTCTCTCTAATCACTCTCTGGTCTCTCTCTGGTCCCTCTCTCTGGTCTCTCTCTGGTCCCTCTCTCTGGCCTCTCTCTGGTCCCTCTCTCTGGTCTCTCTCTGGTCCCTCTCTCTGGTCTCTCTCCAATCCCTCTCTGGTCTTGCTGTGATCCCTCTCTGTGATTCCAGAGTGTACAGAGCCGCAGACCGCTCCTGCAGGAACAGAAGAACCCTGGACCGGTTCTTTGAGGCCTGTGACTCTGGTTCTGGAGAGGAACCAGAGTAGGACCATGTGGGCGTGGCCTGGATGTCTGTGTCCGGAGGCAGCTACAAGTGACACCAGGAGACATTATAGAACACCTACTGTCATTCTGTTCAATAAACATTAGAATCAGACTCTTTACTGTGTTACGTTATTTTTATATATTTTTTTACTTATATAATACGAAAAAACAGAACATTGAGTCTACGATTCACATTTGTTGTACCGTCTCTGTACTGTCACTGTTTAAAAAGTCCAGCCACTTTGCCCAGCGCCTTTTTCCCATTTCTTCCTGGAGTCGCAAAGTGTCGGTCAGCCGCTCCATGAGTTTAATATTTTCCACAATTGAAATGAAAAGCTTTACAGTAGGTGGGTGTTTCTGCAACCAGTTGTTTGTTATGAACTTCTCGGCTGAAACCAGTAGAATTTTGCCAAGGTATATATCATCTGTGGCCATGTTGTTGGGTAAACATACCACATACAGTACAGCACCAAAAAATAGTTATTGATGCTGTAGCCCAATGTTTTAGAATTATACTGTCTAAGTCTGTCCAGAATGACTGAATGAGCGGGCAGGACCAGAAAATGTGTCCGTGCTCTGCTGATGCTCCCCGCATTCTCTCCAGCAGTGTGTTGAGTAGGGCTGAACTTGGATTTTTGTTTTATTGGATAAATCGGTACATGTTAGCAGCTTGTTAGCAGCTTGAGGCTATGGTACAAAGTGACTCAGTAAAGTGATAGTGAACACATGCGGTTCTAAACTGCACATTCTGACATTAGTTCGAGTTATTGCACAGATGCACGACATGTGAAGCCAGGTCGGCATTGTTCGTTGTACAGTCTGACAACAGCAGGAAAGAAAAACCTGCCGAGCCTCTCCTTCACAACTTCCCAGATGCATATTCGTCTCAAACAAATGGACTGTAAAATAGAATAACCACCTGCTTTCTTCTCCGTGACAGGAAATGATCCGGTAAAGCCTTCACTCTGATTGAAAGCGACGCGGCTCGATGGCCAATCAGCCTCACAACTTTTCTTATGATTCTCCACGACAATTTGTTTGCGACACGTCCTGGCCACATCTCCTCCGCTGCCCCACTGCCTGATGGGATATTGATGCTTAGAGATTAAAATGTCCGCTCTCAGTCCCATCTTTCTGCGCGGCGCTGTCAGACCGAATGGTTTCCTCTCCGCGCACACAGACAAACACACACACACACACACACACACACACACACACATAGACACACACACTCGAGCACACACACCATTCTCGAGCCTCGCGATCAATTAACAGGTGCTTTTAAAGACATTGTATGTAATTGCATGGAAATTGGGTTTCGGTTGGATTTGATGGACACTGCTTTCATTTGACCCGTGTGCAGCAGCAGAAATTACATCTTCTTCCAATGGCCTCATGTGACATCACCATCTCCTCAGTGAACTAATCCATTATAAGTTAAATGACTTACATGTTCTGGGATAGAGGGGGACCAGAGCATATTGTAGAAGAAGAGTAAGTGTGTGTAATCTATTTTGCTGTCGTGACAAGTCTCCAAAAAAATACAAGCAAGTTTTTTAAAGGATTTTGTTTGTGAAGGAAGTAGATTTTTTTGGCTAAAAATATTTGTTTGAAAAAGGTATTGTTGCATACTTGATTATATATAAGCCAAATGTGTCATGTACATCTTATCTTATCTTTAAATCTGCTTAAATCTGGTATTTTATACTTGCTTTTTTTTATGTTATGCAAGTTAGATATTTTATTTTATTCTCATTTACTTTTGTGTGCTCCTAATTCCTACTGTTGTGTAACTGGTGATGCAACACTGACATTTTCCCACTGTGGGACAAAAAAAGAATCTCGTGAATAAGTATTTGATTCTATCCTGGTCTGCATTGGTGAAAACTTGTAGCCATACTCTCATATGAAAGCCATATCCAGGCAGACCTCTGAAGCTAAGCAGGTTAGTACTGTGATGGGAGACCTCTGGGAACACCAGGTGTGGGGCGGCTGTGGCTGTAAAGTGCAAAACTGTAGCTGTGTTCTTAGGCAAGACACTTCACCCACATTGCCCACAATGAGTCTGGTGTGTGAGTGATTCGTTTATAGTTGCCTCACTTGTCTCAATGTGCCCCAGGGCAGCTGTGGCTACTGTAGGAGTTTATCACCACGGGGTGAATGAATAATGACGTGAAGCGTCTTTGAGTGTCCAAAATATGTGCTGAATAAAACCAATGCATTATTATTTTCATTATTACTAATTTATTTATTTAATTATTTCAGACAAACATATAAGAGCACCTCAGTTGCTGTTATCATAAAAACATACCGATAACAAAATCAAAACATTTTTTTGCCTGAACTGGAGCAGGAAGGAGATTTAGAACTTATTTAATCCCACACTGAGAAAAATCATTTTTTGGCCCTGTAATGTTTATTGAGAATGTCTATATAAATTCTAAAAAAAAAATACAAGTATTGTGCTTTTACTTTAAAATAGCTGTTTTTCATGTTGTGAATTACTTGTGATTGTTTGTAATTATCGGCCTTTAGTTTTGTATGTAAATTAAATCATTGGATCCAAATAATATTTACTAAACAAGTTCATTGGCTTAATTAGTTGACATTTCAAAGTAAAATCTAATAAATTATATCAGTAAATCAGAGCATGACCTCAAAGCCCCTCCCCACACATTTGAGCGGTCTTTGGTGAAACATGTTTCACATTTCAACTTGCAGAGTTAATGGACGAAACCGGAGCGTGAAATGGACCTCTGAAGGTGAGTTTTAAGAGAAACAAATTTTGCATGTTCCTGCTGGTTCACCTACAGTTAGCTTTTCAACACTGAAAGTATCGACGGTTGTGGCGCTAGCAAGTAGTGTTCCTGCTAGCTATGTGGCTGAATGGCTAAGCTAGCTAACTTGGGCAGCATGGGGTATGTCCGTATTAGGAATTCGCAAGAAAACGCTGAAGGACGACTGTTTGTTCTTGTAAATGCACTGTTTCATGCACAAGGGATGCTAACCGGTGACCGTTTGACCGGTGATTGACCGTGTCGGCGTTAACCCGTCGAAGCTGTCAGTAAAAAAAAAAAAAAAAAGATGAGCTACAGGCTAAACACTTGAGGAGATAAACGTCAGTGACACGAAGATCCAGGACACATTTCTATGGCTTTAATAAGAAAAGGTGACGGACACTAAACCAAAACACGGAGAAGGCGGAGGAGAACGCAAAGAGAAGCTAATACGAGAACTAGCTTAACGTGTCGTCTCCAAACTCCGTAAGTGTCGATGCTAAACTGTTGAAATGTTGCTGGAAAAAGTGTTTCTGGTGAAATGTTGGTGATATAAAGTTGTGCTGATGGGGCTGTGGCCATGAAATTAGTTGTGTGTGTGTCGCTGTTTTGACAGAGAAATGTAAAGGTGGAGCTGAGGTGTTATTTGTGTCACTGGCCGCTGTTTTCTGTGTTGTGGGTGATTTTACGTCCCCAAAGCGACCACGTTTCCCTTGTGCGTCCATAATTAATCTTAATTTCACCAAAAAGGATCACACAGATGTCAGTTGTCTGATACAGAGCTTAAAGGGAGCACCGGGGCAGCTTGTGTTTGTGAGCAGGAGGTAGAGAGGGGCAGGCGCAGATTGAAATGGCTGTACTAGTATTCTACTATGCGGTTAACCAGTATTAACCGGTTAATGAGGCTCGGTGGTCGATTAAGAAAATGTTTAGTTTTCGCCATCCTTAATGCAGACACTTGCTGAAAGAGGCTTTTACACATGCTCTTATTGGTGATCTGTGCGTGTGCGATATCTCCATTACTCCTGAAGTGTGGTGTCATTTTATTGACTGAAAAGTTCACAAATCTTAAACCTGGACCACGCGGTTCACATCAACCTGTCTAAATGCGCACGGGACATCCTCGATCACTATATAGTATGCCACTGTTGGAGTCGTAATTTCTGGAGAAATGTATTGGTCTATGTGTAGCCCCTTGTTATTGAATATGAATGACTTTGAGAGAGAGAGAAAGACAGAGAGAGAGAGAGAGAGGGAAACATAATTTGTAATACATTATATGTACGTTTTAATGTTTTTATAAATATCAGTGTGAATTCATGATTTGATTGAAATTAGTTAAAATCATATAGATTTATATATTTTTTTTTAATGCAGAACATTGGACTTTCTGACTGCTGATTTGGACTCCAAAGCTGACACAAGGTAAGATCTAATTAGTAATGTTTAGGTTTACGTCATAATTCCTTGGTTATTTGGGTTTAATTTTGAGATGTTGCATTAATGTTTCAGGTGACAAGATGAGATGGAAGTGTAAGATATGTAGTTTTGAGTCAGAGAAGAGGTTGGGATTATTGAAACACTACAGGCTAAAACATGGAAGTGGTGGTTGTAGCCAATCAGTCCCTTGTCTTTACAGTGGTTGTCCTTGCTCATTTAAAACATTTAATGCCCTTCAAACCCATTTGTCTCAACACCATGTAGAGGCGGTCACTCAATGTGGACCTCTTTCATTTACTTGTCGTTGCATTTACTTGTCGTTGCTTTTAAGTATGAAGCTTGTGAATACATTTCTTTGTGTTATGCAGCTTCTTCCTGTTGACATGGCATCCTCTGCGAGATTGCGGATCATTTTTGGCGAGGATGATGTCTGCAAAGTAGTTTTACCTGCAGGCATCCCCAGCACAGTCCAGGACCTTACTGATGTGCTTCGAGAAACATTTGATATCACAGGACCATTCACTGTTATGTACCAGGACATGGATTTCGACGGTCAGTTCTTTACTTTGACCTCGATTGAAGAAGTACAAGATAAAGCGAACCTCAAAGTAGTCAAAACTGAGCCAGTGATCTTGAGTCTCACGCCTCTGGACACATCTGATGTCGAATCTCCAGTTCCACTTTCATCAGAAGCAAGCGTCTCATCTGGATGTGACACAGTCCTGCTCTCCTCCCCACTCTCAGATGAGAGTGGCCCATCCTACAGGTCTAAGCCTTGGCCATTTAAATTTGAAATACCAGTCTTTTCTTATGACATAAACCTTGCGCTCGAAGCAGGGAAACAAGCGTATGAAAATGAAGGCACACTTTTGAACAACCCAAGAGTAACTAGTAGCATTCTTGAGAAACTCGCAGAGACTATATTTGAATTCACAGCCTATCCAACTAGTGTCCAGATATTCGCTGTTGTTGAAGCCTTGGTAGAAAAATACCCATGCCTCAAAGAGCCAGGGTCTTTCAATGGCCTGTATGGTTGGCAACAGAGGATAAAGTATAAAATGGGCAACTACAGGGCAAAATTAAAAGGTCGCCAATTAGCCCTTCCAGAGCTGGAAGTGAACACACGAAAGAGACGATGCTCCAGAGAAGGCGGTTCACTTAAAGGTTTTAAAAGGGCAAAAAAAGCTGAAGTCAACTATCTGCCACCATTGCCAATTGGTGAAACTGAGGAAACATTGGAGAAGGAGAGACTAGATTTGCTGATGGAAATGAAGAAGAAGAACAATGAGAGGGCAATTAATGAGAAAATGGAGAAGACTTTCGGAATGAGAAGAACAGAGGTTGTCAAGGACTGCCCTGCAATCAAGGACCTCTTGGAGAGATGGCCTTCTCTGTTTTGTGAAAATCAGGTAGATGCAGTCTTTGTTCATGCAACAAGTGTATGTGAGATGTAAAGTAATTTTTACCATGATTTTGTGTTTCTGTCATTATAGATCAAAGAGGAGTTTAAACGAATAACCACAGTGCATCTGGAGCGTACCTTTCTGTCCAGATTAGACAAGTACACCACAAAACTCCTGGATCTATTTCAGAAGAAGGGTGGAATTGCAGGGACCAAAATAAAACCAATGTTGGACTCACTGAATCAGGTAAAATTTAAATTACATATTCTCGTGATGAGGTCAAACACTAAGAATGTATCACACTTCTTTAATCTGAGTGTCTGTTGGTCTGAAACTGTTTTTATCCTGCCCTTTTGGCTGCAATTAATGCTTAATGCACACGATTCATAGAATCAGATTTGAGACCAAACTATTAAAAACACTTCATAGAAATTTAAATAAAACAATTATTTAAATCTTTTTTGAAAATTGCATTAAATATTTTTTCCATTCAAAAGTCTAAACAATTGCAATATTTGTTTATATTTTGTATCTTTTGTCAGAAAAGCTTTGGTTGTTTTGACACTTTGATCCGCTCCACTTTCTTTTGATTTTTTTTTTGTGTGTTTAGTTTTTTGAGTTGATAAAGCGCAGCGAGGCGGGCTTTAATAATTGGAACTCGTGATTGGGTGATGCTCTGTTGTCCACATTAACCTCAGTAATATTTGCTCCGTCTGGGCTGCAGTTCCCTGCTGCTGCTGTGGCTCTGAGGTAGAGCAGTCCGGCTTTAATGTTTGAATAAAATCACAGAACTCCTGGTTCCTGTAGAGAAAGCTCTGCGGCACAAATATGAGTGCGTTTACAAGAGAACGAAATTCACGGTTATTTGTCAAATTCCGGTTATGACAGTTTTCAGGTTATGCTATTTATATGTCACAGAGAAATCGGGAAACTCTAATCCCTTGTGTACATGATCAAATAAGGAAACCCGGTTTGCCGTGTTCAACTTCTGTCTGCGCACGCGCATACATTATATTTTTCAGCACAATACGGTGAAAATATTAAAAGCATAAATGTCTGCTTCCGGAGGAAAAACAGCCGCCATGAAATGGTCACCGACAGTTCCATATAAATCCACATCACAACGCTTCTTTCCATCTTAAATATTCACTACTACTAGTTATTTTATGGTTAAAATATAAAACTGTCACCTCTCGACTCCAAACACGGGAGCTCATTGGACAGGCTGCCGCCATGTTTGTTTACAATTAACAGCGCATGCGCAACCCGGTTACTGGCAGAAAATCCCAGCTATAAAATCCGGGTTTCTCAAAACTGGGAAACTGCTATTTTCGGGTTTTTATAACTGGGAAACTGCATTTATATGATCAAAGGAAAAAAACTTAATATTCAAATTCCTGATAATAACCGGGAAACTCAAGTTCTTGTAAACGCACTCTATGATTCTTACTGAAAACTGTCTACTCTCGGCGAACCAGAAAGTCCAGCCAATTAGAAGTTAAGATTCTTAAAGCCCGCCTCGCTGTGTTTTATCAACTCAAATGGAAAAGAAAACAAAGCAAAGTCAAAAGAAGGAGGAGATGATGCAAAGGGTAAAAAAGCAGTGCCAAAAAAGATAACGTTTTTCTGTCAATAGATTAAAATTAAAACAAATATGGTAATATTTTTCAAAGTGACCCTCTGAGTACAATTAGATTTATTTTATTTTTTTTCCTACTGCCTATAGACTCCAATACGATCATTTTTAAAAGTTTCCACTTGTGTGAGAATTCATGTCAAGGTCCAGTGATAAAACCTCCAAAAACCTGGACTCCGATTACGACATAAGCTCGACATTGCCTCTTGTCTCAACACACGTGAAGAAATTCACTTAAAGTTTCATACTTCACAATGTTTGCATGCAGTTGTACTCATACATTCCCCCCATTGGTAACTTTTGTGCTGTTATGTATGTATTAATAATAATAAGTGTAATGCATTATTATTTTTATTATGCATCTGGGATATGTTTTGTATTTTCTCTGCATTGTTATTCATTATAGTTTTATTCAATAGCATCCTGTCGATGTCAGAAGGGATATCGTCATCCGCTGCTTAGTTGAATATCTTGGAGAGAGTGGAGAGGAGCTGATCAAAGACTATCAGGTATCTGATTAAGAAACTCTACAATTTGTCTAAAATTGTGCAGTGTTTTTATTTTATTTTTTTTGTTAAGGAGACTCAGTGGCCCTCATTTATCAACATTGCGTACTAAAATGGTGTATCTGTAGGTGTATTTCCAATTTACGCTAGAGGGTGCGTGGCATTTATGAACCTGTCCTTTCTGCTGAGATCTTGGCGTATGGAAGAGAGTTGATGATAAATGCCACGGAGAAATCCTAGCGTCATTTGAATTAAACGCCCAAAAATATTCATGTCTCAAGAAGCCTCACCCACGGTTTTACTGCACGCATGCACGAATCACGGCAATAAAAAGAAAATTCCTCCAACCAGGAAATGATAAATAATTTTTTTAAACACACACACATGTCATGTTTTGTGCATGAGGAAGATTACACAGTCAGTAAACGTTAACCTTACAGCCAATCCAAGATCACATTTAGCGTACGAATAAATAAAGTAAAAAAATAAGTAAACATTGTCTTTATTGTAGAACAAGTTCAGTAAGTATAATCTAGTAAAAATCTAATTATTTTAATAAAAAGGCATTATGCAAATGATTTTTCATTGAAAGTGTATTTTGCAATACACTGAAGGATAAACTAATTGTATTACTCAATAAGAAATTAAGAAGTTTTGAAATGTGCTACTTCCAGGAGTGTAGGGTATATGAGTTTGTTCTAACTAGCCAGGGTGATCATCACTGACTGCACTTTCTATGGATAAGAACTCCTCTCGGTCTGGAGGGCTCCCAAAAGTGACTGACTTTTTCTCAAGGTCAACCTGTGTAGCACATTGTGTAACTTTACCATATTTAAAGTGCCGTATGATATGATTATCGTTTTGAGAATATGGATATTGTTTTGAGAAACTAAATTGTATATACCACATCTATGGAATCCGAAGAGAATACTCTCAAGAATATATTTTCATATTATTAGTTTTCATTTGAATCTTTTGTCAGAAAAACGTTGCTTTTTTTTTTTTTTGGGGGCGGTTTTTAATTTACCGTTACATGACACATATTTTTTAATTATTTTTTTTTTTGAGTTGGTGGAGGCTTATAGAATCGTACCTCCTGATTGAAGTGGCTCTGTGGTCCACATTAGTCTCTGTAGCAAGTGCACCTTCTGGTTTGAATCAGATTGTTATTTTAGTTTTGCTTTTGCAATTCAGATTTTTGATAATATTAAATTTTCTAAATATATGATGATTTCTTGAGTATTTTGAATAGTTTTGTCTTTAAATCTGATTCCATACACCTGATTTTTCACTTTTTTCCTGACCTTTTACTTTACATTTTCACAGGATGTCAGCCAAGAAGAAGTGAAAGGGGACTGCAGTAATCACATGATGAAGATCAGTGTCCTCCATCCAATTGGGGCACAGGAAACCAAAGATCCAGTGAATGTGTCCGTCATCATTGAGGGGACAGAAGTTCTCGAGGACTGTGGAAGTGTGACAAATGCTTGCCTCCTTCTCATGGGGGTCATCTATGCTGTCAACTTGAGTTATCCCCTGAAACTGAAATATACGTTTGAAGTATTTCAGAAGGTGTTTCTTGAGCTTGACATCCTTAAAATGTCAGCGAAGATTCAGTCTCTCTACAAGAAACTGTTAGCATAAGTGTTTGTTGTGCTTTTGACCAGCACAAACAAGCCTTTACATATTTGTTTGTGATTTCCAGTTCTGGTCAATTTGCCATAAGTTCTTTTTGTCTTGATTATCCTGAAAATGTCAGCAAATGAACGGTCTGTTTACAAGAAACCTAAAGCGGCACTGTTCTTTCTATTCAGCAGAATTTGGGCCAGTTGTCTGATATTATGTGTAAAGTGCTCAATGCTAGTAATTGCAATTGTTAATACAGTTAATCTATTCTTCACTGTTAGTTGAAAATGTGTTTGGAAGAGAGAGGTCAGGAACCTCATGGAATTCTACCTATGACTTTCATAGGGCTGTGAAAGATTCAATTTCTATTTTTTATTTTGTTAAGTATCAATCCTAGAGTCAGTTGGTTTGTTCTAAAGCATTCCGTTTTCAGACTCCATTGATTTACCTTTTAAGTTTGATCACGGTCTCCACAGTTTTAAAATGTGCAAGCAAGGTCTCTGGCCATTTGTATGTTTATGTAGATATTCAAAATATATCTGCCTTTTCAAATGTTAAATTGTTGTCGTTTTTTCTCAATTTAGCAGCAACTAAGTTGTGGGGAAATATTAAATTAATAGAATTATAAAAACATTATTTTTATTTCAAATAATAACTAATGCATTCTTGATAAATATCACTAAATAGATGTGTAAAATATAATAAACAAAAATTAGTAAGAAACACAACGAAACATCAGTAATGTTTACATGGATTTTGCAATTGTAAGCAATGGCAGTCCAAGTGAAAGTTACAATTTAGAAAAGAGTATTGCTAGTTAAATTTACTTATGTATTTTTCATAAAATAAATGGTTCCTGTAAGTACATTTTACTTAGAAATAACGTGAGTAAAGATTACAAATGCTTTCTAAGTGAAAAAACTTGCCTAGCTTTTTTTAAGTAAATGTTACTCCAAATTTTTTTCAGTGCACCCCATTTATTATTATTTTTACTTTAGGGGCACCTTTGGGCAGGACACTTGCTTTCTTAACAAGTGAAAGGCTTGACGCGCCAATGGAGTTAACAAACGTATTTTCCCACACTGCCGGAGAGACAGTATAGCTACAACTCTCCCCGAGCTTCCAAACGCCAAGAGTAAATAGCCCAAAATGTTCCGATAAATTGCGTTGTCTGTTAGTAGTGAAGACACAGTGCCTGCTCGGCGTTCCCTGCGTCTGTATTGATCAGTTGGCGGCGAATGGCTTCGTTAGGCATCTCTCGGAACGTGTGAGTCAGCAGAAACACAAAGGTGCGCTGGATAAAAGAGATTGAACTAGAGAACAGCAGCTGGCTCCTCCGCACTCTACATTTATGAATCCTCTCAGGTGTAAAGGTTAAGAACTGTCATCAGATTAGCCATTGATTTCAATTAGTGCTGCCTGCAACTAAACAACCTTTGTCTGTGTGCGATCACTGGCTGCCATCGATCCACCACAGCCTCGTTCCATTACATCAGGCCTCTCTTGGCCACTGTCAGCTCCTTGGAGTTGGACGACCCCCGTAAGATTTGAACCCATGTTCAAATCTTTTACAAATCTGCTCTTAAAAGGAAGCGCTGAAGAAGGTAAAAGTGCACTTTATTAATCCCTGTAGGGCAATTCAATCCTCTGCATTTGACCCAAACTGATGCGGCTATGGCTTACGTCAGGAGCAGTGGTCGCCGTAGTACAGCGCCCGGGACCCCATCTCCAGAAGTTGATGCTCGGCTTGGTCAGAAAGACTCAGACAGACACTGTTCCAACCAGGATTCCAACCCAGGACCTTCCTGCTGAGAGGCGAGAGTGCTATCTACTCAGCTATCGTGCCGTGGAGGTGTGGAGCGAGTAGTGGGAGAGAGGTGTATGGTCAGAAAGTGTTTGGGCGTTTGTGTGTGTGTGTGTGTCTGTGTCTCTGTGTGTGTTTTGAATGGGAAATTGTGTAATTGAATGGGTAAATGGTGTATAGTTATGATTCAGGCCTGTGTCTTGTTGTGTGTGTGGATAATGAATGTTTATGTAGGTGATGGGGAGGAGGTGGGTTGCTGCACGAACAGTAGATTGATGCAAGGAGTGAGGGGCACTGTTTGAGAGGCAGGTGTATAGTAGAGGGAGGACTCAGTGTGGAAGGTTAGACTGACTTCTGGTCTCAATTCCTGCTTTAGCTTCACGTCAATTCTCCAAACTCAAAACGGTGTTAAACCAATTCACAATAATCAAGTTTTTAAGTGTTGTACAAGGCAAGTTCACTTTTCATACACAAGACAACTCAAAGTATTTTACAAAACAAAATATAACAATATATACTGTATAATCAAATAACACATACATAAAAGAGTGAAGATACAATCCCTCAGTTGTCTGCAGCTAAACAGAACTGCTTTTAACCTGGATTAAAACATTGCCAAAAAGCAGCCTGTCTCCTATTTTCAGAAAGACTGTTCCAGATTTTAGATTTTGCACAAGCATCATTGCACAGAGGAAACAAAATCTGCTGATCGCTAACTATATCTCTATAGACCTTGCAGTGCAGAGCGATGCAGCAAGACTGAAAATGTAACAAAAACAGGCATATACTCTCAGATCTGAGCTGTAGACAATTGACGTTTCAATATGATCTTTTGCCACATTTTTTCTCTACATCAAATTTGTTATTGTGACAAGACAAGTACAAAGTCTTCGGGCACTCTCGGATATATCGACCGCTCCATTTTCAGGTGGTGTCATCGCAGTGGGGCGGTCCGTGCGGAGTATAAGCGGTGAAAGGTGCTAATAAGAGCGGGACATGCACACGTTCACCGCGGCTCTAAAGGTCAACTGGAGCAGCTTCAAGGAATGATAATGAGCCTCGCATTCAGAGACCTGCTGCTATCACTGCAACACCAACACACAAGCGCTGCTGTTACACACACGGCCACCAGGGGGCGAAGCAGGTCATTGAGCATCCAAGGCCTGGGTGAATTTCCAAGTCCAAACACTGAGGTGATTGCTGGACCCAGACTCTGGAACAACTCACTGACTCACTGATTTTGGCCTTTTTAAATCCAGGTTCAAAAGTCTTTTATTCAGACAGTAATAAGGTGAATCTTTTTTCATATGTGTATTTTATTAACAGATTGAAGATTTTTTTCAATCTTTTTTATTTAATCATTATTACAAATTTGCTGTAATCTTTTCCTTTGCATTATAATTGTTTTTATTATTATTATGAAACTCTGACCAGTTGGCTATTTATACAGTTTGATTAATTGAAATATATTGGGATGGAAAACACATTTACATACATTATACATTTTTGATGTACGGTGATAATCTAAGATTTGCCTTGTGAGACTGTTTCTCTCTTGTTCAGCACTTTAAATTGCCGTGTGTATAGCACAGTGAACTGTGCTATACTGAACTGTGCATTGCCTCATCAAGCTTTCCCATCACACAACTAACCAGGCCGTGCCCTGCTTAGCTTTAACCTCTGTGGTTATACAGGATCAGGCTTTCACATGCATGGTGCCACTACATTAAATGCTCCTTTTTAATGTTTTTCATCTAATTATTGAAGAAACTATTGACAGAAAAAAAAAAAAAAACTTCTCATTCAAAGTGTGCATCTCCACTTTCTGATCTTTCAAAATCATAAAAAGATTTATTAAAGTCGTCATTGAGAGTGTTCAGGACGTGAGGGAGGTGTGAGAAAGTGAGAGAAATGTGTTAAAACGGTGCTACCTCTGCTTTTGTTACTGTCTGAAAGAAGACTGGAGCCACCAGCGATCACTTTCAAATATCTTTTGCTTAAACCATCTTCATTCTCTGCGTGAAACTAAATGAAACAGTTCCTGGAAACCTCTGGAACTCTTACCGTCCACTTGTCCACTTGCTGCCAATCCTGGAGAAATGAAGACACCACTGCCAAAAGAACAGTGTGCGACTTTGCAAATGTGAGAATCAGCTCCGTGGAAATAGTTACAAAAAGTTACAAAACATTCATTTGGATCATGGGGATGGATTCGTTTTGTCTTTTACTGTGGTTGTATATGTTTTATTATGAATCCGTGGAAAACATTTTCCAACGGCAAAATATATCTAGATTTGAGACTATTTTGAATATTTTTGGTTCAGTCTTTATTCACAAAGTACAGTGCAGTTACTTACTTACCCCTCCTGGGGCATAGGCCGCCGACAAGAGATCTCCAAGCGTCTCGATCTTGGGCTTTCTACAGTGCAGTAGCAGTAAACAAGAAAAAGAAAAAAAAAGATCATTACTAACAATACTTTTGAAAAAATAAATATAATATAATAAAAATATAAACATTTTTGGGTAAAACAAGACATTTTGTGCTCGTTCCCTTTAGCAAAATGGCTTTGGGAGATAAATGTTCTCACAGAAAAAACATAGTTTTTAAACTACATATTTTTTCTATGTATTCGTCTTTTTTGTCTGTTTTATGGGATTGTGTGGGCTTCTTGTTTGAGAAAATGTCCATGTGATATATATATGGCTCTATGTGTTTTTCTATCCATGCATTTCCTCTGTTCGAAAGGTTTGATTCTCTGATCCGTTGTTGGCAAATCGACTTTTAAAAATCCACCAAGAAAGAAATTGTACTCATTTGTTTACACAGTATGTACTCAACTTTTTGAAATACATCAAAAATCACATAAATATTTGTCGGAAAAATCACAATTTGATACTTTACTCAAACTTGTTCATCCACAGAACATTAATGATCTAATCTCCAAATGATCCAACCAACAGCTTTCTTCCCCTCGCTTTCATTTATTAATTTATTCTTATTCTTTTTAGCCCTGATCAAACCGCTCTGTGCTTTTACTCCCCATGCTTTTGCATCTAAATAAGTCATTAGCACACATTAGTTAACTTGAATCCCAGAGGAGCGGCTTCTCCCTGACGTTGAATGATAATGCGGCGGCAGCGGCGGCGTGTCCGTGTCGAAACAAACAGGCCCAGTGTGAGTGTGACAGCGACGCTCTCAAAATAAGAGATATCATCGGGCACAGATCAATAAACTCATTTAAGGCTCTAACGCAGTCTTTAGCTCCCTGAGTCACAGCTGAAAGGAATTCTGAAGCCACATTAATTGCTTCATTGTTTGTTTCGATGAGTTCCCAACAATGCTGATGTTTGCGTGAAAATCCAGCCGCACAAAAGTAAAAGTTGTTTGAGCAAAGGATGAAATATAAAAATTATGATAAATGTGATCGAGCCCAAACTTGTCAGATAGAAGTAGTATTTTTTGGTTTGTGCTCAGATGGAAAGTTGTTGGTAAAACTGAAGCTATGATTTTTGCTGTTTTACGTGTAGGGTGTGTGGATGGGCGATGCTAACTAACCTTCCTTCTTAAAGCCAAAGAAGGAAGGTCTCAGACAAAGCTTTGCTCCAATTCTCTCTTAGCCTGGCCTTAGCCATCCATACACCGGTCATTTCACTGCATGTAACGTCTGGGTCTGGTCCCTGTGTTTGTGATTACAATCGGTTGAATTCCATCCGACCAATCAGCGAGCGCGGGAGGCGGGTGTTGTAGTTAGTCGTGGGTGACGTCAAGAGTTTGCGCCGAACGGGCAGGTTGTAGTTTGGCAATGGCGAAGAACGCGATGGTAAAGTAATCCGGTCTGGTTCTATCAAGAAATTGAAGCTGGAGCAAGAGGAATGTTTAGCAAATGTAATCGCCGGCAAAAATTGTGGCGCTACTCCCTAGGCTCCGTTAGCGGCAAAGAAGATGGCTAGGGTAAATGCTAACGAATGACTCGGGCGCTTTACATACGTCACGGTAAACTCAGATTCAATCGTTTCAATCTGCAAAAAGGTGTTAGCCCCTCCCACCTGTTCACGGAGCTCAATGGAGCACCTCCAGACCTTAGTCTGTGGTGTGGTACGACCAGGCTAATTCTCTCTGGCTCCTATTGACATACATTGAAAAGTGAACCCCTTCCTTCTCATTAACCTTTTGCATCACATTAATCATTTTTAAACTTAAAGAATCCATGGTGTTGATAATGTCTTTGTAAATCAAGGTTAGGAACTACATATTGTTAAACCAATCAGATGCCTTCATTTGTGGGGGCAACTCAAGCTTGCGTGGCTTCATTACATAGACTCTTAGTTTAGTAAAAGATCTGAATTCTGATTTCTACCACTTTTATTTCTATTATTGGGTTAAGTTTTATTAGAATTCCATCCATCCATCCATTTTCTTCCCCTTAATCCATTTCTGGGTCGGGGGGGTGGCAGTCAGAGCTGCACCCAGTGTACATAGCACCAGCCCCTCACTGATCCTCCTGCAGGTGGTGAGTCCACAGGAGCTGAGATCTTTCAGTTGGGGCTTTGGGCAAAGTAGGGTTAAGTGTCTTGCCCAAGGACACAACGACAGCAGTCATCGGTGGGAGTCGTGAAGTAGGTCTTACGGTGGGCTCGAACCCACGACCTTCAGGCCCAAAGGCCGATGCTCTACCAACTGAGCTACTGTCACCCTGTCGCCCTGTCGCCCTTTTATTAGAAATATTAAATCAATTCTTTATATCCA